CATACTAAAAATGAGGTAAAATGCCTATAAAATAATGTTAGGGATTAAAACGGTTGTATTACTATAATTTAAAGGGATAGAGTGAGAATACCAATGTAGTAACGCTATATAAGAAAAGGGTACTTTTGTCCAAAATTTCTTAACATGTTGAGTTGAATTACCTTTGTGGGTGAAGTGACTAAAAAATAACGTTATGGGGTAAATTGATAGTAGTGATAGAGTTTAAGGGGGTAAAGTGATAATAACCCTATTATTTATTGAACAAAAATATTATACCAAGTGAACTTATCACACTTAACTTAATCTAAGAACCAAAAAATCATTTACAATCATCCAATCGTGAATTTTAACCTAAAGGTATAGTGAAAAAATGAGTATTGCATCTCACAAAGATGACGAACAGATACCATAGAAGATATAGTTTGCTCTTAGTTGTAAGGAGAAAGTTAAAAACAAAAAGGAAAAAACACAACGAAAAGGTTACTGTGGATAAAAGAGAAGAAGGGAGAGGGTTGAATCTATGATGACAATTTGAGAATATTATTCTAGAATTTTCAATGATGTGAGAAAGAGATTAACCATTATTTCAATTTTTGTTGTTTGTTTTGTAGTTAACTTTTGCACTGGCTTCAATCAATACTCAGATTGTGTTCAGGGGGCCTAAGATTCCTGGCACATCATTAGGCAAAGTTATACTCAATCTTTTGTTCTTCTTTTTAATTTGTAGCAATAATTAAACTCACTTTTATCATTTTGCTTAATCTTTACTTATGCTATTGGTTGGCCCACGCCTTAATCATTGTCCTAGCATAGCATTACCTAAGCTTTTTGGCTGTCTTAGATGCAAACTAGGTCTTTATATATAAATCCTACCTATTGGTTATTGATCTTAATAAAATATGTAATTCTTCTACCCAACTTCTTTTTTTTTTTTAAGATTCATAATTAAATGTGGTTTAAGTTTTTAATTATTTATAGTCTTGTCAAAATCAGATGAAGGGCAGTCTTGTCAAAATCAGATGAAGGGCCTCTACAATTGCTAGTGGTAATTGCAATGTAAGTACTAAAATAATAAATGTAGACACCAACACAATAATATGCAAAAACTTAGCAAATTTTCTCATTTGTGGAAATTTATGCCCAAAAACTGGTATTAGTGTCTATATTTATTCTTTTAGTGTTTAAATTTGTTCTGCTAGTATCTACACTGTACGGTACATCATCAGTTGTAATTGTAGAGGCTCTTAGAGAATCAGAACTATCTTATATGACCAATGCCCTAATTACAAATACGTAAATCAAAACTCAAATTTCCTCCAATACAAATACACATTCCTTCATCTCCATTTTAAGTACAAAACTGCTCCTTAACTTGTCTGTTTTAACCAATCCACAATCCCGATGCAAAAATAAGAAGTAAAATCTTTTGAGTGGCATGAAAACTGGAATTTGGATCGCGTGAGTTGAAAGAAAAAAAATTATATTTACCTGAAAATTTTGTTTATTTCTTCTTCATTTGATCAAAATAGTTCAAACCAATCAAGATTACATAGCACCATTTAGTATATCTTTAAATTGGAAATGGGACAGGAACGGTTGTCAAAGCAGTTGACGGCCATGATTTGGCCAAAAAATTTTGTGCGGCTCAGATCACATCTTGTAACTCGATTTTCACGTCGTGTGTAGGATCCACAAAAATTTGTTCTAAAGTTACGTCGTGTGCAAAGAAAGTTACACCGTGTGCAATCAAAGTTACGCACAGTAAAAAATGCACACAACCGACAGAAACGGTTGCACCTGCAACCGTTTGTGCCCCTTGTCCCTTTAAATTGGATAACCGACTGTAAAAGAACTTTAAAATTCAAGAACCTATATATAATGCTCGAGCATCTGCACTGTATTTAACTTTACTCTATATTAGGTGAAAGAAAAGTGAAATTTAGCAGCATTTTCTCTACTAGGGAACAACAGAAATAAGCCAAGCAAATGTATATGCTCTTAGACGAGCATATATCTATGTTATTGCCTCGTACAATTGGTCCCATAATCAAGTTAGATGAGCCAAAAATTCGCAAAAAAAAAAAAAAAAAATTTCCTGTGGTCCCAAGAAATATCAAGATAAGTTTTGAAGTCTATTTGTGTGGGCCTTTGCTGTTGTTTGACAAATAATCAAATAAAAGCAGTTTGGAACATGCATGTGCTCAACTTGTTTTTTATTTATTTTTTTTTTTTTTGCAGAAATATTTATAAGACAACAACATCACGCAAAAATGGAATTTTATCAATCAACACTAGTAATGAGAGGAGGACAAGGGTGGGCTCTAGCTTGTCCCATTTTAGAATCTAATGTGTAGCCTAAGAAATTAAATTTGAAGTATTGGAGCGATTATCCTAGAAAGATTTGATTCAAAGAGATTTATATTATGGATTAATCTTTTCTATACTAACAGTATATACCATGTCAGTATTTGATGAATAACAACTATATGAAATTTAAATTTGAATTCAACTTTTGCATAAATGTCATAAATCAAACGGTGATAGTATATACACTGTCAATGTATATAAGATTTACTCTTATATTATTGGTGAATTTTGTAGTATAGTTGTAGATAAGAAAATTTATGTAAAGTGAATTGCGCTGTACTCATCAAAGTATAGGATACACCCTATTGAATAAAAAATCGTATTTCAATGATTTTTTTTTTTTAAAAAAAATAGGTAGGTCACAATGCTTATTCTATAGATATTACGAAAAGAAATGCACTATGCCAAATGAAGTTTCTCCAAATTTTTTTTAAAATTTTTCTTCTCCCCTTACAAAGTGTCTTCAAACCTTTCACTGAAAGCTACTCTAGGCATATGAGCAATGCTCTTCTTTTCTTTTCTTTTCTTTCGTTAACGCATTTATTTCTTTGATGCATTGCTCAAAAGAAAACGTTACGTTTTACCACTTGAACTAACTCTTACAGTCAAATGCTTCATAAGCCATGAATAAAAATTTATGAGGTAATCTCAAGATATATCTAAGGACAAGGGTTTTACCCTGTTTAAAAAAAAAAAATTCACTTCCCCCTTCTTCTTGCAACCAAAAAAAAAAAAAAAAAAAAAGAAGGGGTAGAGCTAGAGTAACAATGTGTTAATGTGTTGCTTTTTTCATGGATAACTTGAGCCATTTTGATTTCGTCTTGAGATGGCTTTGCACTACTTATTATTGATTAAATTAAACTAAGAAATATTATATTTATTACAGCACAGAGATGGAGAGAAGTTAAAGCAAAGAAAAAAAAAAGAATCTATCTAACGAGTGCCCATAGAAAAGGATTAAAATGTATTTTAAGTTTTAAATTTTTAGATATATAAGATTAATTAAGAAAAGCGTATAAATGTAAAGGAATTAATTATGAAAAGTATATAAATGTAAGTGAATATAATAATTGTTAGTGTGTGTATATACATGATAGGTTGGATGGAATGTTAGTGTTTTAACGAATATCCGTTAGGCACCCGTTAGAAAACTCAAAAAAAAAAAAAAAGCATCAAAACAATTAGATTTAAATTTTCTGTGATCAACAGTGTATTCTTTTAAGTTTTGTTTCACATGTTTGTTCTTCTAACTTCGTACCAAGTCAAGGCTCATTTAATTAAATTAGTTGTTGCCATTGTTCTAAGCTTTTTCTACCAGCAGGCTCACTCAAATGAAAGCTACAAAATAGAGAAGCCAAGCAAAAAGTGCCAATCCCTTCTTCTTCTTCTTTTTTTTTTTGGAAAAACCCTCTTGTAGTGTACAAAATCCTCTTACTTTTTCTGGGAGTATTTAATACGACCGGTTTATTCAATTCTCTCTCCCCACCGCTGTAATTAATCAGAAATCAATATCTCAACCAATATACTCATAAAGAATGCAACTTTCTATGTCTGTTTATACCTTATTTTACAATTACACCAGCCCTATAAAACTGTCAAAGTATATATGTATTCAATTAAAATAACTGAAAATAAGACCCTACTTTTAAAAATAAAATTAGCCCAAAGCCAAAAAGAAAATAAAAAGGATCAAGTAATTTTGGTCCTGAATGTGCAATACACATAAATAGTCCCCAAGTTTTTTTTTTTCAATTTGAAGTTTTAGTGAGAACAAGAACTCTAGAAGTCTAATTTCTGTGTAAAGTTCATATAATTTAGGTAATTGTTAAATATGAACATTACAAAATAGTAAAAACAAGTTAAAACTGTTTCTTATATCATGAATGTGTTTTTTCAATCTCTATTTTATTTTCCAATCAATTTTTTATTACACATATATTACACCACAAAATGACATTCTAATAAATTTTCTAAACAAGAACACATTAAACGATTATCAACTTAGAATTGTGATATTTACCACCCTAAGTATAAATTTTTTCTCTTAATTCTTGAATCGTTTTTGAGAGTTGGTTGGGGATCCAAGAATTATAAATTCTGGGTTCCAATCCCTCTTTCCCCTCCCTATTTTTTAAATCTTACCTCTCTTTCCTATACAAAAGTGAAAAAAAGAAGAAGAAGAAGAAGAATTTTTACCAAAAAAAAAAGAGATGTATATCTATTGTTAGGGCTATTATATAAGTGTATTTGTTATATAATATTGACCAAAGTGCATATTATTTTCTTGTAATTTCTCACCATGTGTAATAGGAATTTTTTTTTTTTTGTGAATTAGTGTAATAGGAAGTTAGTAACTTAGATTTTGTCAATTGGACTTTTCTCAATGTAAATTGGAAACCTTAGGCACTAAATTTGATTTTAAATGAATTTTTAGAAACTAGATATTCAATCTTTGAGGACCAGTTTTGACAAAAAAAAAAAAAAAAAATCTTTGAGGACCAGAGTCACAGTTGTGCGACAGCCAGCAGCAAGAGAGTGACCCTGTGAGAATCATGTGACCTACACACCTATGCTCATGCTCTTTTTTCACTCTTTTCCTACTCTCTCTTTTCTCTGTATTCTTGTTTCATAAAGCCCAAAGGACAAAAAAAAAAAAAAAAAACCTGCCCATCAGTCATCACCCACTCAACCACCATAAACATCATCCCTTTTGTCCTTTTCTGTGTTTTCTTCCTCTTCATTTGATTAGTATTATCAATTCTTAAGGCCTTTCTGCTTCTTTAAAGTTTGAAAATTTTGATGCCAAAATGGCTACAAGTGCTTCAAGATTCATCAAGTGTGTGACTGTGGGTGATGGTGCTGTTGGCAAGACTTGCATGCTAATTTGCTATACCAGTAACAAATTTCCCACTGTGAGTTCTTAACTTCTTTTAACAAGCGAAAAAAATTTATGGGTTCTATCTTCTATGGCTTGAAATTGGTGACAAATGCTTGGAATTGTCTTAGTATGACCCTTTTCCCCTTTTCCGCATATGGGCTTGCAGCTTCTTTGCATTTTTTTTTTTTTGGGTGGTTTTTAAGATTTTACTGACTGAAGGAAAAAGTTCTGTTTTGTGGGTAGGTTTCATGGTTTGCTTCTTCCGTTGTTCTTTTTGTTTGGGCTCTGTGTTTTCCGGTTTTTGGAATGCATGTTTTTTATACTTGTGCCTATTTGAAGAAAATAAATTGAGAAAGAATGCAATGACGGCTAATTGAATATTCTTTTCATCTTTTGTATAATTTGATTATATTGTACATTTCTTTCTGAGTTGTTGAAGATTTTCTGTGAATCAGGATTACATACCGACAGTGTTTGATAATTTCAGTGCAAATGTGGTGGTCGAAGGCACCACTGTCAACTTAGGCCTTTGGGACACAGCTGGTATGTATGATTTGGAAATTGACGTACTAATAAAGTTTCAATCTTTACTTCCAATTTCTGACTAAAGATCATTTCCATCTGGGAAAGTTTCAATTCAATATGTTCCTTAGCCAACAAACTTGATTTAAAATCTGACTGCCTGCTACAATTTTATTGATAGGGCAAGAGGACTACAATCGCTTAAGGCCACTAAGCTACCGAGGAGCTGATGTGTTTGTCCTGGCATTTTCATTAGTTAGTCGTGCAAGCTATGAGAACATCCTTAAAAAGGTAGATTTGCTTGCAATTTTCTTAGTTCTGTATTACAGTAGGTATTCACTTTTAGTTTGATCTCTGTATGAAAATTTCTTGTTCAGTGGATCCCTGAACTTCATCATTTTGCGCCTGGAATCCCAGTGGTTTTGGTTGGCACCAAGCTTGGTAAGATAAGAATTTCAAAAGTCTCCAGGTGTTCGTATCGTTGTGTTATCAAGATTTTAGTCGTTTCATAAACAATCACATTTTACCCATATACTTGTAATGTTATTTTGGAAAATCATTTAACAACCAAGTAAAAATTATAAAAAATACCTTCGAGAATTCCCTTAATCATCCTCCGGTGGAAAGCTGGGACAGAGTTAGTCAGTGTTTGGTAAAATCCAGAAATACTCTACTCCAATTCTGCAGCATTCCTTCACATGTCTGATGTTTGGGTGATTAGTTTTGTGCTTAATTATCCTCCTGTGGCTCGAGCGGTTTATTGTCCTGCACTGGCGAATATCTCCTTTGGTTTCTGTAGCTACTTTGCTGCATCAGTTCGTTAAGAGCAGACTTTCTATAATGGAGATAACTGCCTATAACACCTATTTGTCCGTCAAGGGCCTCTGTTTTGCTTGAAAGGGTAATTACACATTCAATTACCTTTTTCTATTGAAATTGAAAAACCCCTTTCTCATAGACCTACTTCCTGCAAGATTTGTGTTTTCTTCCACTGTAAATGAACATATTAGGTATAATAGAGGCATCCAAAATATAGATAGGCGAAGAGATTTCTGGAGGAACTCAGAGGCTGTAATGAATGAAAAAAGTGGAAAACTAGATCGAACGATAGAATTTATGGAAGCCCCTGGAGTTTTGGGTCTTGCTATTATCAAGTGAAAGGCTTTAACTAAAACTGAAAGTAGAAGGTCAAGACCCATCGATGATGTCAAAACTTTGGCACATGTCACGTGAAGAAGATCCTTTCTTTAACACCAAGAGTTGGTATCTTCTGTATATGTCATATTATACATTATTAAATTGCAAAACAAACCTCTTTTCTCTATCCATTTTGGGTGTTAAAAGGAAATTATTGTCTTCTATTCTTTCAATATGTTTCGTGAAGCATGTCAAGTGTAATAAAGAAAAAAGAATTATTTGGTGAACAATTGCATCTTGATTGGGTTGCAGACCTTCGTGAGGATAAACATTACTTGGCTGACCATCCTGGATTAGTTCCTGTGACTACTGCACAGGTATAATTATCCTCATTAGCTTCTCTATTTTTGGGTACAATCTGATATGAAATAACTGATCATTATTGGTAAACAATTAGGGGGAGGAGCTTCGCAAACAAATTGGTGCTGCCTTCTATATAGAATGCAGTTCTAAAACCCAGCAGGTAGGTAAAGCAGCCTTTTTTTTTTTAATGTAAATTCTTATAGGAATTTATCTGAAAAAGACAAATGAGATTCTAGAGTGGCGTTTGGTGACATTTCATTCTTCTTTACTTTGACTTACTTTTGGATGAGGCTATGCATATTAAATAAGCCAATTTATTGCTTGTCAGCCTCACTGAATTAAAAGAAAAGGATCCTTTTAGAATGAAATTTGTCTAGCATTGTGAACCTACTCTGAATATTTTCTTCTTCTTTAACACAATTACCTTCCCAGAGCTTATGCATCTTAAACGAGATTCTCAAATTTCGGCCATAACAATTGTACCAAACCATCATATAATATAAAGGAAGATACAATATTTTGAGACTTTTGGATTAGGAGAGTGAAGAGATAGTTTTTATGTATACATGATTATTAACTGCAGAGTAAGTATTTAGCATCTATTAGGATTAGTTCTGGTGAAGGAATGATCACTAATTGCTAGAAGTCCAATCTCATAGCTTGAAGCCATTTTTACTAAACCATAACAAGTAACTACAGTTCTGCACAAAAGTACTTGATTCCTCTCTTAGTTGTCTGAGTATAGTAGGTTTTTCAGCTGGCAGTAACATGTCGCAACTTCCATTTGAAATTTTACTTGGGAGATCTTCTATTGTACTTATGATGGAAGATGGCTCCTAGTTATATGGGTCTCACTTAGAGGGTTGCATAGTACTTGGTATTTGAAACAATTGAAATAAATGGTATCATTTTTTACTCGAGGTTTTCTCTAGATTCAGTTTTTGCTTTAATTTTTTTTATTTTTTCTGCTGGATGGGTGGTGGTTTTCTATAGGGATTCTATTAATTAGATATCGTCCGTACCTAAGTGTATAGAGATTCTTTCCTGGAGTTCTTCTCGGCTGGGTATTTCCACTACCTTGCCTGTCTGTGAATTTGTTCTTTAGCTTGTTTGTCCTTTTGTCTGAACTGGGTGACTTGTGCCTCTTCATGTTATAACAGAACGTGAAATCAGTCTTTGATGCTGCGATTAAGGTAGTTATCAAGCCGCCTCAGAAACAAAGGGAGAAGAAAAAGCAACGCAGAGGATGTCTCGTGTTAGTAACTAAATATTTCTGCTTTTTTGGACATTTTCATGTTAAGGGTTGCTGCCCACAAACTTCATTTGATATTCAAATTTGTTTCTATATTTCTTCATAAAAAGCTTGCTTTCCACATCAGCTGCTACTTCTTCTTGTGTTTTGTCTTTCACGGTTACTATTCATTAACTCTATTTGTTACTCTTTTTAAGTTGAAAGCAGTTTCAAAGTGATTGTTTGTTGGATTTTTATCTATGTCAGATGAAAGAAGTGATTCTTTTTTTTTTTTTTTAAAGCGATGAAAGAAATGATTCTATTATACAAGATCTACCCATTAAGAAATTTAAAATTTTATAAAATGAGATTTTTCTGGTTTAAGGTGGTGATGAATGAATTCTTGACTGGGCATCATAAACTGGCCTATGGAGAGTTGCCAAGCCCAAATTTCAAGTTTTCAACCCATGGAAAGTCCCAAAATTTTCAGACTATGAAAAGCATGAATCACCTCGGAGTATCGACTTAGGACAAGTAGTACATGTCCATCTTTAGCACACTATAAATGTGGTAACCAACCATTGGAGAAAAGGCATGACTAAAGACTTCATATACTGTAACACAAATCGTATGGAATAAACTTTTTATTGCTGAAAGACAAAGTCAGTTAGCAGATGCCAGGTAGCAATAGGCTGATGAATGGTACCAAAAGGAGAAGGATACTCAATTCAATCTACAAGACATGAATGATAAATGGGTAACTTTGGGAGTGAGAAATCCTTTGGAGAGAAATATGCAGAATATACTTGTAAGCGTGATATATTCAAATGTGAGAGGTTTTATTTTTTTCATTTTTTTTTAATTGAGTGTCTTGTTTCCTCTGGTACTTGATTTCTGCTTGGACTAGTTTGCTTTGAGACTTGGGGGATACTTTTATTTCAATCCTTGCATCTTAAGTATCTTGCTATCATTGTGATAATGTGCATAATTTTCTGATTGAGAACTTACTGGTGGACATAGAATGTGCGATGAAATCAGCATTTATTGAAGCTGGGTGTAAAGGATAACTACTTTAGTACACTGGAATTTGATGTTTATGGAGGCTCGTACTGGTAATATGGAGATTTCTGGTCACACTTTCTGAATTAGCTAATAAATGTTGCAGCTTAGCGGGCATTATATAGGAGTTTGAATTATGTGTAATCAGTGTATCAGTATGTGTACTGCCATAAATGTTGTAAAAGTTAATTCCCCTGTAACTTTACTGATCAATAGTTTAAAAGTATATAAATAGCATAAAATCTTGGCAATCATTCATCACAACAGATCATGGTGTGACAAATTGAAGTGAAAGAAAGTCCATTCTGTGTAAACTTTTCTTGGAGAGAATAGCCCAAGGAATCATAAATAATTAGTGACAGTAAATTCAGTGAAATCTTCGTATATATCCGATTGCCTATCCATGAAGCTTTCATCGTACTCTAGAAGGTTTAGTATCCAATTGTAGTTTAAAAAAGACTGTATAATACTTTCAACAGGAGTAATGTCAGCATTGGGGAAAACTTCAGATTCACAAGTCTTGTCATCCACCATCTTTAGTGAATGAGGTTGGATTTGTCTGGTATTTGGACCTCTTTTCTTCTTACATACATGTACTGTAAATTCAAAATTCTCCTGTTTGGAGACTATGCAGTGAGGATTAAAGGGACTCGCCACTTTTATTACTTCAGAATTCTTCTGCTTTTATGTGTGGACTCCATCAAACGTCTTCACCATATTACTGCTCTGTCTCTTTCCTTTCTTCCTTTCCAACTTAGGCCACTCAGTTTCATATGTGGTTTGCCCATGGAAATCTTGCATCCTTTTTTCTTTTCCCTTGATGAAATAACCTTGCATCCCATTTCAATAGGTTTATGTCCTGAAATAACAGATACAACTGTTGCTAAAAACTGCATTTGAGGATCAATCTAGACTATGTTGACATGACTCTCTTGTTTGCCTGATAGACTAGAAAGACAGGGTTTCCGTTAGAAGTGAAGCTTTTTTATATAAATGCCTTCCGCGCATTCTTGCTAATTTGCTTGGTTCGAGCAGTTCAGAATTTGAGCGAATCCTGCATCTTTTGTTGATCTTTTTAAAGATATACCTGCCTTTCGCTTTCTGTCACTGAGTTTGACTGCGAGGAAGCAACTTAACCTGTGTAAAATAATACTTTTCTGCCACTGTTAATTGACATTGTTTGTCTGTAATTGCAGAAACATCTTTTGTGGAAGAAGCCTCGTCTGTCTGAAATGAGACCTTTTCTTGGTAGAGGTCAATAAGTTTGACATACTAACGCTATGTGGTGGTGCTTTCTGATATGTTGTTCGAAGTACAAATGCAGCCTGGTAGGACCTCAAAAGTCGTTTGCAAATTTAATTCAGATGCTTGAAGAATGTCCATAGCATTGTTTGTATTCGCATTTATCCAGATGTTCGAAGAAGTTCCATAGTATTGTTTCTTTATTCCTACTCTTCTCTATGTAAAAAAGGCAAGAAGAATTGCAATGCTGATATATTGTGCCTGCTATAGCTTACAAAATAGATTTGCTGATGCTATAGCAATCTGAGTTTAGAGATTCAACAGATTGCCTGTTTCACTATTTGATATGCTAATCAATGAATGTCCCAAGGAAAAGGCACGATTTGGATAGAGTATTATTTGAAATATTATTTGGAATAATTACTGTAATATTTTTTGTGATGTGATGTATGTGAAATGAAAAAGTTGTTGATAATATAAAAAGGTGAATTGAGAAATGTGTTTATGATGCAAGCAAAATATTATTTGGGATAATTTCACTGTCCAAACAAACATTTAACCTAAACAAACCTATTAGTTTTTCAAATAATAATTAACTTACATCATAAGCATATTTTTCAACCTACCTTTTAAAATTTCTATTTATCTTTTTATTTCACATATATCACATCACAAAAAAATGTTCCAATAATTATTTCAAATAATACTCTATCCACACAAATGCAGTATTTCAGAAGCTATTAAATTAAATGCCTCTAGTTAACTGGACCAAGCCACTTGTTTGTTAAATCTAGTCTTTGTCTGTGATTCTTAATTCCAGCTTCAAATTTCAAAGTTCAGTGCTCTGAGAATTGGGTTCTATCCATCCAGCCATCCACACATGAATTTCCTCAATTTCACCCTTTGAATTTTGAAACTCCTTCAAATTGTTGCTTCCAAATTTCTTCAAATTGTAATATCTAAAAATCTAAAGCATCCAGTGCAAGAATGGATAGCCAATCTTTGCTTTTCCTAGGATGACACGACAAGATTTACTCTTGGTTTTCCATTGGAGAAAAGGTACTAATTTGGCTATCTATTTGGGAAATTAGGAAGAAGAGCATGGCAAGAACTCTAATTAAATAAAGAGGGTGCAATTGTTAACACACAATAATCTACTTTTTATAAACCTCCCTTGAAGTTTGTCAAAGTTGTAGCTCACAAAAAAAGGTGCGTGTGAAACTGAAAGTTGTGGACAATTTTCCTCAGGTTCGGAAAAAGTCAAGAAACAGAAGTCAAGCCCCCAAGAAGTTTGTCCCCTAGAAAGTTCCCACCATTTTCCACGCTTCCATCCCTGCCACACACAATACCTCAAACTTCTTCCATGAATCGGTCAAAAGTTCCTGAGCTAAGCCTTCTTCTTTATCCTGACGTCGCGCCCAAAAATTCAGCAATTACAGCTACCAATGAAATCTACCAACATCAAAAGTCAAGCCGCAAAAGTGAACTTTGAGGATTTACTAAGGCTTCTGGGAACAATTTAGGAAGCATCTGAGGAAAAAGTGTGATATCCTCTATTGACCTCAATCTTTTCCTCCCCCCCCCCCCCCCCCACAACCACAACAAAAACAACAAAAAAAAATCCAAATTTTGCATTTTGCAAGTTCTAATATCTTGTAATCCAATAAATCTATAGGAATACATTTCCACTCAGCACAATAATTTCACAAATTACAACACCTATGTGTTTGATGTCACATGTCGCCTAACAATACGAGTAATGTGTGATATATCTATTGAATGCTTCCATTCACGTAAAATTTTAAAAGTGCTAATTTAGCGGGGAAAAACCTCACAATCACACATCACTACATATAATTAACGACTACAATTGTAAAATTTTAAAGTGCTAATTTTTTTTTGGGTGTGTGTGTGTGGGGGGGGGGGGGTAGCTCACAATCACACATCACTACATATAATTAAAGACTCTTAGTTGTCAAAGATCGCGACAATGTACTTGTTCTTGCCGCCTGTGAACCTGATAAAATGTAAGATGTAAGACCAACAGGAAAAAAAATGCAAAATATGACCTAAACTTCAATTCATGGCGTCTATATATGTTGAGTAAGGTTAATTCGTGCCAATCCAGGGCAATGTTGTTTACGGGACAGCATTTTGAATTCTGTGGGATGTTTGGTTGACCTTTGTGTGCTTGTTTCCACTATTTACCCGTTTGATCATAAGAAACGAAAATTTCTGTGAAGACTTCCAAGGATGCATGCACCAACGGACTCACCTAGACCAACTGAACCCAGAAAAGCCTTTATTTAAAACAATGAACTGAAATAAGACGAAACTGGAACTGCATTTCTACAGTGCTTCAAAACTAGTATTCAAGTGCATTCTTTACACCAGATCAGCCTCCCAACGGCTGACTTTAACAGTTTGCCTTTGCCAAAAAAGTGTTTAGAGAAATATCCTAAACTATCACCTGCGAAACCATTTGTTGTACAAGGAGAAAAAGGTGACATCGCCTCACCCAATTTCTCAAGACTGTAATCTCAAGCAGAAGTCCTTTTATAAAAACTGGATAACCAACTTAAACGGTGTATTCAACTGTTGAGGGATTGGCATACTTTTAACAAACCAACCATAATAACATTGGTGATTGGTCTATGAGATGACACTAACTGCCCCCAAAATGAAAGTAACAACAAATAAAAAGGTACCCATAAACAATCAGAAGCACCATTTCTCCTACTAGTAACATATAATTTCCGGTTTTGTTAAGATGCCAAAAACAAGTAGATTTTCCGACTCCACTTGGAACACACTTGGCAAAATAACCATTTCCAACAGGTATATTAGCCATACATAATCTCCAGATGTATACATCCCCTTCAATAACACTAGCAATTTTCTGCTAATGAAGTACCCTCTGTTTGCTAAGGAATTCAATTGGACAAACATTATTCTGCATTAACACTGCTAAGGCTACAAAGTATAACTGAAATAATGTCACATATGCAGTCAAACCAACTGAAACAAGGCATGTGAAGAAAATACTTGGTACCTGAGTCGAGTGTAACCCTGTTATTACACAAAGTAGCAGGAGAACAGAAAAACAGAAATCCAGCAGAAAGTACATAATGAACTTCCCCACCAACAGGTTGAGAAATCCCCATTGCAACCACTAGGCTTTTCATGTCTTATACAGCAGAGGCAAGAAGTAAGTGAATATTCCCGTTACAAGTATCATCAATGACTGCTGTAAACAGACTGCAGTTTCAGTACCAGAAACAGCTCTTCCTTTATAAACTGGAAGAAACGATCAACAAATTTATTCAACTGCAACGTCTGGAATCACAAGCGACTTGTGTTGCCATTTTCAATGCCCTAATGGAGAGACGGAGAGAGAGATAGAGGTGGGTGGGGAAAGTAAACACGAAACACACTACTTTTGTTTGTTTCATGTATGCAAAATGCCTAGTACCTCACAGACATATGACTACCAACCTTATCCTTGCTCCAAAAAACCTCACATAGAGAGAGAGAGAGAGAGAGAGAGAGCGAGGGGCCTCGGTGGGTGTTTTCGAGGGTTGCAAGAGAGTTAAGAGAAGCTCTGCTGATAACCATGAACAGAATCATAAGGTAAGTACCAGCTTGTAAGTATTTATTGCAGTCCAAAATGCAGCCACATTCCAATGAACAAAATTCCACTCGAGTCCCCTTTCAATTGTTCCTTTTAAGGAACTAAAACCTTCAATTATCACAACCAAGGGAATCCTAAACAATATTCACTTTGGACAACTTGTATAAATAAGAGGAACCTCTTTTGTTTGCATAGAATACAGCTCAAGGTACAATAAGACCGCCAGCTACAGTTAGAAATTTAAACAAATTTTAGGATACAAGAGCAGCCGAACCTACTAAATAAAGAAAAGCTTTAGTGCCAAAATTCGGTGTCAACCCTACTTATATATATGCAATAGGGACGAGAAAGGACTAAGAAGCAAAGCTGGACAATTTAACAACAAAGCACATACAAAAGCTTTCCTTAATTAGTTCAGAAATCCAACCATAATCCAACCTCCATACCCAGAATAGCTGGATTACCAGAATAGCTGGATTGAGAGACATTGAGACCTATATCATGTGTGATGCATCGTATCAATATCTGCTATCAGCGCATCACAGATTTCCGACAGTTAATATTACAGAGAAGAAAAAGATCTAAACCCACCCAGAAGAGTTTGCTGGGTTGAAGAGCTAGCAAAGCCCAATTGAGCACCTATTCGCCAAGCTTCTGAGCGGCTGAATAGGTCGAGGAAAATGTCCACTTACTAGCTGTCCTCCAGGAGAAGACCCATCCAATGATGATGAGACCATATACATGCAGGTCAGACAGTGTCCCTTTGAGAGCTGCAAACAGCATATAGCAACCAAAGAGTCACTGAAAAGAGCACAAAAAGGCCTGACTAAAGCCAATAGAACTTCACATCCAATTTCCCAAATCCACAAACTTCAATAAAATGCATGTGGCAAAAATGCAAGAAATAGTCACATCATCAGTCCAACAAAGTTACATGAAACCATTTCTTAGGTACAATAACTCCATCAATGAAATCCCCCAGGCTAATTTCATCTTTCTTTCTCCATGTACAGCAATGGTTTCAAATAAAAATTGGGCACAGTAAAAACAGTAGACTATTTACACAGTCAACATGCATGGAACTGCATTCCAAACAACAGTAAAATTCCATAATCTCTTCTTTTTCCTATTTCCTTTATTGGCTTTTCCTTGATTTGGCATTCCTTTCCTTTTTTTCTTTTTCCTTGTTTAAACTGAAGTCGAAGAAAGCAACCTTTACTGAGGACATAAAAACTCATTTGTCTCATTTAAACAGTTATTGTAATCATGCCATGATTTAAGGCGAAAAACAGCAAAGCAAGATGCAAAGCGGTCTTTGACCATTGCACTCACATATGTACTCAACTACATGCGTGATGTAAGATAAGAAAAGAAACTCACTGAGTAAGAAGATTCCTCATTCTGCAATACTTAACAACCTCACTGCCAGGAGGATTGCTTGTACCTGAAGCCTTCACCATCCCACCCTCCATCAGGCTCTTTCCTTTTCAGAACACCACCAGACAGTGGAAACATCCTCACTTGCTCCTCTGCTAGCGCCTGTGAACTGCCAACAGCAAGTTGTCTTTGTGCCAATGACTCCTCTCTGCCTTCAATATCTAACACACCAGGGCCTGCATTAAGGTCCAAACCCTGCCTACTCCACTTCCTATTACTCTCCATACCTCCACTATTGCTACCGTCAGAAACGCTTACCATGTAAGGCCTTGGAAATTGGGATGAGACTGCGCCAACAGGTCCTAGAAACTGTGAATTTACAGGGGGAGTAAAAATTCTTCCACCAGATGAGGAGTCCATG